AATTGAAGAAGAGAAACACAGCAAGCTCAGGGTGGATCACGAAGTCACCACACATATTGAGCGCAAATAGAGGCCACAAGGCCAGTTCAAGAGTTCGCAAACTTATATAGAAGTACCGCAAGCAACAATAGACAAGAATACTATAGCCAAGAGCCTACGTCAACAAGGCCTAACTGCAAACAGAACCTGTGGTGGTCACCAGGCGGAAGGGCCTTGGTGAAGATGTCTGCAGTGTTGGCCTCTGAGGCCACAAATTCCAAGCGTGCCTGGCCATGTCACTTCAACTCCCGCAGGAGAAAGTACCTGACGTCGATGTGCTTCACTCTGCTCTCCAGTCGAGGCTCTCGACACAAGAGGATCATGGCCTTGTTGTCAGCGAACAAGGTCGGTACAGAGCTTGGCCGCTCACCAAGGTCGGTGAGCAAGAAAGTCAACCAGCGAAGCTCCTGCGCAGCCATGGCACCGGCGTAAATCTCTGCCTCCGCACTAGACGAAGCCACAGAAGACGACCGAGTAGACCTCCACGACACAGATCCAGCGCCCAAGCTGAAGCAGTAGCCCTGAGTGGACCTCTGTGTCTCCACGTCGTCGGCGTAGGAAGAGTCGCAGTGACCAGTCAGTACAATTGCATGTGTCCCTCCAAGCACAATTCACATGCCTGATGTAGTCGCCAGGTATTTCGCCACCCTCACAGCAGCTGTCCAGTGAACAGAATGGTGTCTCCTAGTCGCAACAAAGCGAGAGAGGACGCTGAGAGGAAAAGCAAGGTCCGGACGAGTACAAGTCATCAGGTGCATGAGGCAGCCCACAAGCTCTGCGTAGGGACCACTAGACTCAAAAGGCTCGTCGAGAAAAGGGCCGGTGAGTCTGTGGTCAACGGCAAGAGGAGTGGGCTGTGTGGTGGAGTGCTGAAGCCCGAACCGCTGAAGGACCTGCCGCACCATGTGTGACTGTGTGAGTGTGATGGTGCGAGCGGCTCTGTCCCTGGTGATCTGCAAGCCAAGGTAGCGGCGCAGCTCACCAAGGTCAGTGCACGTGTGTCTCTTCTGCAGTTCGGACTTCACCTCAGCCAGTGCATACATGTCTGCTGTAGCAAAGACCAAGTCATCGACGTAGACGAGGACGAAGAAGGGTGTGGGCCCAGAACGAACGAACAGCGACGGGTCAGCAGACGAAGGACGAAACCCGAGGGCAGCAAGAGTAGTGCGCAGCGTGTCTTGCCTCTCACGGGGCGCCTGGCGGGGACCGTAGACTGGTCGCCTCAGGCTCCACTGGGTCCCAGGCGGGAAAGCGCCAGTGAATCCACGAGGACGACGCAACCAGATCTCCTCGTGCAGGCTGCCCTAGAGAAAGGCGGTGGAGAAGTCGAGGGAGTGCAGCTCGTAGTCTCGCTGTGCTGCAACGTGTAGTAACACCCGAAGAGTCGTCATCTTCGGGGTCGGAGCGAAGGTTTGGAAGAAGTCAACTCCCTCGAGCTGACTGAAACCTTTAGCCACGTAGCGCGCCTTGAACACAGGCGGCGATCCAGGCGTCCGCTTCACCTTGAAAATCCACATGCCGTTGACTACGTTCCGCCCACGTGGGGGAACTGCGTCGACGTAAGTGCTTGTGGATCTCCAAGACGCCATCTCTGACTCCATGTCCGCTATTCACTGAGAAGCCCAGTGCCCTGACACTACCTCACGGTACGTGCGAGGAGTTGGTATGTCAAGGGCGTCGCGGTCTCCCTCAGGAGCTAGCAGCATGGCACAGAGATGGGGAGAAGCGGCCGCCAAGAACTCCAGCTCAAACTGCCTGTCCTCTAGGACGTCACATCCAAGGGCAGACTCACCCCTGGCGGACAGAGGACGGCCAGCTACCACACGGGTTGTGTAGTCAAGGCGACGGGTGGAAGCAAAGTCAGCAATAGCGGCAATAAGAGCCGGGACAGGCGACGGAGGGGCACGAGGGTCCGTGACTAGAGAGGCGAGAACACGAGTGACAACAGGACGGGTGGCACGGCAGTAGTCAGTGATAGGGGTAGACGTGGAGGCTGTAAAAGACGACTGAGGAGGTGACAGGAGAACAGACTGAGGTGGAGAACGACGAGGACTCGAACGAAGCGAGACAGTGTGGAGGTCGTAAAAATGAGACGAGGGACGTGCACGGGCGGGACAACGCACTGTCCAGTCGTGCGGGACAACAGGAGGAGACGACTGTGACAGAGGAGGAGAGAAGATAGCCGGAGAAGATTATGGGGCGGGTAACATAGGACCGTAAATAGGGGGAGACAGCGAGCGGTCTGGAGGAGAGCAAGGAACTCTAATGGCCCGAAGGCCACTCACAGGTGAAAACAACGGCTACAATGGCGGCGCCTGCTGCGACTGCTGCGGCAGCACCAGCTGCTGCTGCTGCAGCTCCTGCTGCTGCCGCTCCAGCCCCAGCCTCTCGTGCTCCAACCGCTCCCGCTCCTCGTGCTCCAGCTGATGAAGCCTCTGGAAACTCGTCCGGTAGCGGTGTGGAGGTAGGGTGTTCGCACCTCCAACTACAGCACCCCTAGAACTAATGTCCCCAGGACGAGCACCCCCATAACTAGCACCGCCAGTGCCAGTAGCCCTAGCTCCAGCACCCTCAGAACTAGTACCTCCAGCGCCAACACCCTCAGCTCCACCACCCTTAGAACTAGCACCCCTAGCGTCCGTGCCCCCACCAGCACCCCTGGAACTAGCACCTCCAGCGCTAGCACCTCCTGCTCCAGCACCCCCGGAGTCCACAGTAACCTGTCGCGGAAGTGCCAAAGGCTGCTGAGAGGACTGTGAGGACGACTGCGGAGAGGCTACCTGACGCGCGACCGAGGGTAGAGGGGTAGCGTGGGACACACCTGACGGGGCAGGACCAGGAAGGGGCGGGGGTACCAGAGGAGCAGGAGCAGGAGGAGGAGAGGGGCCCAGAAAAAAGGGGAGGGGGAGAACCGGGAGACCTCGATAATGGTTTCGGGTGTAGTAGGACACAGACTCGCTAAACCGGACGTCACGAAAGTCAAGGAACCGGTGGAGGGGCGGGTGGTAAAAGGTGTATTCAGAGGATTCCACCACGAAACCAAGGAAGACACATGGGATGGCGCGAGCCGCGAGCTTGTCCACAGAGGTGTCGCGGACAAGCGCAAGGTAGTTCCAGGCTCGAAATTCCGACGCAGGGGACACCAAAGACTGGTCAGTGAAGCCCCTGGTCGAGAGACACGAGGCCAAAGGTTCAGCTGGTGGGCGGCGTAGCGAACCGCGTAGGGCCACAGAAAATGGGGCGCATGGGCATGGATCATGGAGGTACGGGCAATCTCCATGACCAAGCCTATGCGGCACTCAGCAACCCCATTCTGCTGTGGGGATTCTGGAAGCGTCCAGGACTGGGTGATGCCCTGCTCGCTACAGAACCCACGAAGAATGCCGGAGCGAAACTGGCCCCCACGGTCGGAGTAAAGTCAACTAACATGACTGCCACGTGTGGTCTCAGTAGCCAGCAACCACCGGATCAGCGTAGAAGTCATGTCGGACTTCTTCGCCAAAGGAAACACGGTGGTGTAGTGGGATAAGTCATAAACGACCACTAGTAAAAAGCTCTCCCTCTCGGACCCAGGGCGAGGGGCGGGGCCCCAGACGTCCAAGTGGAGAGTCTGGAAAGGTGCAGTGGCCGGACGAAGGGAGGAGGAGTGAGGAGTGGCGCGCAGCCAAACCTCGACAAAAGGAGTGCACAACGGCGCTGGCGAAGGAGGGAGCGACGCAAAGACACGCGGGAGACCTGAGATAAGACGCTGGCTAACCATGCTGCGGAGGCGTGGGAGAGACGGGTGACCAAGACGGTGGTGCCACAAGACTGTCGGGTGAGAGAGTGACCGACAAGAGCAAGACGCAGCAACCAGACCGGACACAGCAACCTGGCCGGACACCGCAACCTGAGGGGACGCAGCTACCTGGGAGCAGTGTGAAGAACGTGGAGACCGGAGCGGGACTCTCTGGTAAATGTGGCAAGAACGACACCGGTGGCAGCGTCCGTGCAGACTGCAGTCCTCCCGCCTCCCAGAAAGGTAACTGTGATCCCCCTATCCAGGAGGTATCCAACACCCACCAAGTTCCGAGTGAACGAGGGGATGTGGAGACCTCTAAGGACACAAAAGGGGACAACCGGGTAGGGGAGGGTGGTACAGCTGCGTGCAACCGCTAGTCCTGAAGTAGGATCAGCCAGTGCAACCGGAACCGAAGCAAGAAGCGGTGTGAGAGTCGTGTCGTCGCAAAAGAAGCACTGCGACGCGCCAGAGTCCAGCGTGAAGGACAGCGATGCCTCAGCCGTAGGTGCACCTGGGCTGGTAGCTGCACAAGCACCTAGTGCGGAAACACAAGCACCTAGACTAGAGAGACAAAGATCTACACTAGCAACAGGCAAAGAACCTAAACTACGAACACGCGAGCAAACAAATCCAGCAGCGCTATAATCCACATCAGCATACATCACAGAAACAGAGTCTAAAGCGTCTACTAACTCTGCCGCAGACAAGTCCCATAAAGCAAGTCCACGAGAGCGAGCAAGCGGGGCCCAGTCCGTAGCGGGGCCCAGGCCGAACTATGCGCGGACGCGGTCAGTAAGCTGAGCAAAGCACTGACCCGGAGCATGGAAACGGCCACAGCGAAAACCCGCACGACCGCCTGACTGAAACACGTACGGGCAGGGAGGCGGAGTGACACCACGCAACGTTGAGCTGGGCGGACCACCGCCACGACCAGCGCTCCCTGGTCCGCCAGGTCCCCACTGCTGAGGCTGCTGCTGCACCTGCCGCTGAACCTGCTGTTGCGGTTGTCGCTGCTGTTGCGGCTGTCCTGACTGTGGCTGCTGCTGCTGGGACTGCTGCCGCTGCTGTGCCGTATACCACGTGACCGCACTAGCACCCCCTCCCGTCGGGCCCCCAGGCGCAGGGCAGCCCCCAGTGTCGCCTCCACCAGACGCACTAGTGTCACCAGAGCCTACGGCACCTACGCCGCCACCACCAGCGCCACCTTCCCCCCTCTCTTACCTCCCTTACCCCTGGACCGCCCACCCATGGTGGACACGGTCGCAGTCTCCAAAAGAGAAGGAAACGCAATAGAGGCAAGAGAAGTAGTGAAGGTGGGAAGTTGTGGGACAGTGCACCCCTGAAACAGCGGGGGAACTACGGCGCCAGATGCGGAGGCAAAGGAGCGGATATTTCTCTCTATGTCCTTGAGAGCGGTCTGAAGGACATCGATGGTAAGCTCACTAGGGTGCTTCTGAAGAAGCTCGTCACAGACAGGTGCAAGGCGGGCAGGGAGGCTAGTGGCGATAAAGTGAATAGTGATTGCCATGGGCGGGGGGAGCAGGGCAAGCTGAGCCTCAGTACAAGAAGCACGGTAGTTGACGTTTAGAGAGCGCAGGTGGGTGATAAGATCAGCAGCGCGGTCAAACGAGCCTAAGTCAGGAAAGAGAAACGGCAGAAAGAGGCGACCAAGGGAGGTGGAGGTGGGAGTGGAGTAACGTGTCTTAATGGCAGTGAGCTGGTCCTTGGCAAATCAAACATGAGAGAAGTGAGCCTCCTCAGTCTCGGGGAGAAGGCTGGAGAGGGCAATGCATGCCGTAGCATCACGCGACTGCCACACTGAATGAGCGGTATGGGCTTTATCGAAGCGCGCCTGGCCCGCCTCGTCATGCTCAGCACCCAGGTCAGGAGGGGACGGAGGCTCAGGAAGGTCACCGGAAGCGTGCGCCCAGAGCGTATCGTTGTCCTGGCGCTGGCTCTTGAGAAACCGCTCGGCACGGATGAGCCAGGAGGGGAACGCTAAGGCTCTACCCTCAGCATCAAAGCGCAGTACACGAGGAGCCGCCATAACGAGGGAACTGCCAGCCTAGAAGCGCAGAGCTAGAAGGGGCCGGAGCTAGAAACAAGTGAGGCGTACGGTGCCCGAAGAGACGAGACGAGGAATAGCATGAGCTCCAGAGTGGCAAGGCTAGGACGAGCCAAAACGAGTAACGAGCGAAACGAGTAACGAGTGACAAATGAAGTCAGAGGGTCGAGTCTAGGTCACGCCAGGAGAGGGTACTGCGGCCGCCAGCCGCTGTGAGTGGAAAGCCAGTGGCAGTAGGCGATAGGAAGGTGCTGCACGTGTAGAAAGGTGTGGGTGGGTGCTTTTGAGTGAGGTGGGGAGTGGTCAGGTACGGTTCAAAGCGGTGGAGTGCGGTCGAGAGCGGTTATGAGCGGTGAGGAGCGGTTAGAGGCAGGTATGAGCGGTTAGGAGCGGTGGGGAGCGGGTAGAGGCGGATAGGAGTGGTGAGGAGCTGGTAGGGGTGGATAGTACTGGTTAGGAACGGATTCTGGAGCACGGGCTACAGCTGCTGCGCTCGATGCAGATGCGGAGGCAGGTGCTGCGCTTGCTGCCGCTGCACACGCGTGGCTGCGGTGGCCGCAGGGCGTGCGTGCGAGTGGCTGCAGATGATTGTGCACCTGCTGCTGAAGCCGTGCATGCAATGGCTGCTGCAGCGCGTGCGGTTGCTGCAGCACGTGCGGCTGCTGCAGTGCGTGCGGTGCCTGCAGCGCGTGCGGCTGCTGCTGCGCGTGCGGCTGCTGCTGCGCGTGTTGACGTTGCTGTGCGGACAGGGCGTGGCCTGCTAAGGGAACAAGGCACAACGTGCTACGGGGCGGGGCGATTCAGGCTAGGCTAGGAACTCACCTACTCGTGATACCATCTTAAGAACCTACTTGCTTGAGTAGCGAGAGAATGATGCTACTAGGTTAAAGGGATGGATACAATCAAAGTGTCGAGAAAGTTTTGTACCCCCTTGCATCCAACTCACTATAGCATATCTAAATCTACCAACATAGTTTGACAGACCCACCCACCCACCCCCTCCCCCCCCAAGTTGTAGACCCCCCTGTCTATAATACGAAAGGGAGTATGCTAAATAGGTCGTTTGTGGTTATACCCCCCTAAATGGAGGCTACTCTTCTGACTCCTCAACTTCGTACTTAGTAGAGTCGGCTCGTGCAGCGTACAGGAATGCCTTCTTATTAAGTTTCATCTTGCAACACCCCCCTTCATTCTTGGGTGTGTTAAAGGCTGACTCGCTTGAATACTTCTATGAGGTTGGAGCAGTGCTTGTACTGCTGACGTAGCAATCACTTGATGAGAAAGTCGGCTCCCATCTTGGTGGTAGGGCAGTACGTGGGGTCAACCTTGTCCTAGTCGATTTCGTCCTTCACGAAGAATCGAAGCGCGATGTGCTTTGTTCCGTTTGTCGCAGAGTAACGTGAAATGTCCATTCATCGTCACCTTTGCTTCCTGCAAGAGCTCCATCAGGTACAGGCCTTCGCGAGGAGCTGAGTTGGCGGCGATGAATTCGACTTCGGCCGACAAAAGGGCGATGAGTTCCTGCTTCTGAGAGTTCCAGGAGATGAGTCCAGTGGGTTTGAGTTGGAATAATAAGCCTGTGCATGAGCGTCTATTGTTACATCTCTTACATGGTCCGCATCCACCCAGCCGCGAAGCTGAAGAGTGGTTGTTAAATTAGCAATGTAGGTGAGATCGACGTCAGGAGTAGATAAGAAGTATTGAAGTGCCTGGCGCAGGTCTAGCATATTCTCCCCTTCAGGTTGGCGCATGTACTATGCGAGATGGATTGCGACGTAGGAGAGATCCGGCCGGTACGTGACGGCAGCAAATAGGAGGCACCCAAGTTGTTGGTAGAACGCTGATCGTCGATGGGGAGAGGTGAAGTGTTGGGTTCGTGATTAGGAGGAGGCATGCGGAAGGGAATCGTCAGGTTGTTTGGTGCGAGCGCAAATTTCTTTGAGAGTGTTTCGGCGTTTTTTGTGGCCGAGAGGTGGATGGAGGTGGCGGAATGGGTGACGTTGAGACCCAGAAACTGAGTGACATTGTGATTTATTGTCACTTCAAGCTTCTCCTTAATTTCTTCTTTGAACCGGTCGAGAAGGTCAATGTCGTCGCTGGTGTAGAGCAAATTATCCACGTAGGAGAATAAAGTTGTCGCGCGACTCCTTTAGGTACATTCCTTGGTCGTGTGGCAGCTGAGCGAAGCCGGCAACCAGCCTCGTCAACCATTTCGCCCACTATTGCAAGTCGTCTGCTTCCCCCCGCACACCCGACCACGAGGTTAGCTCCGCCCAAGCGAGGACGGGGCCAAACCCACCTCCCTTTGACACTCCCTTGCCGCGTTCACGCTTGGGCCCCCAGCCCACACGGCAACACTACTCAAAGAATGGCTCAGTGTCGTCCCACACAATACACAGCATGCCGGTCACCACCGCACCAGCCATGCAAGAAGGCATGGCACCTGGTGCCACACGTCGTCGTCGCCGTCACCCACGTCGGCCAGACGCACTTGGCTGATTGCAACGGAGCACCCACCGGTTGAAGGCCAGATAGTGCAGCGCCTTCATGAGGAAGCCTGCTGGCTGCTCAGCAGGCGGAATGTACTTTAACGAAAACTTCCCGCTCTTCACCATGTGCTGTAGCCAGGCTTGTCGCCGCTCCATGTGCTTGAGGTTGCCCATCACCCCATGCCCTTGGCGACAATGATGGCCGACTTGTTGTACACCTGAAGGACGGTCGGCGTCTCGGCGTCCAGCTGCCGGAACTCTGCAAGAACGAAGCAAAGGCGGCGTTCCTCCTTAACAAATTCGGTTGCTGCCACGTACTCAGACTCGATCGACGAAAGCGTCGCGCACTTGATGCGTTGGCTTGTCCAGGATACCGCGGCCCCTCTGTAGACAAACACGTAGCCGCCCGTGCTCGTCAGATTCTGCTTGTCGCGGACGTCCTCGGCGTCTACGTAACCGACCAGCTCCAGCGACTCTGGTCCACCGCCGAACTCCAGGGCGGTGTTACACGTGTTGGCGAGATAGGCGAGGCAGCGGTCGACCTCGTGCCAGTGCTGGTCATTTCTCTCTATGAGGTCGCTCCCTAGCTTGCTGCAGGCGAAAGCGATGTCCGGCCTTGTCATCGTTGCCGCGAACTGCAGCAAGCCGACCTTCTGCCAGTACTCCTCCTCTTGGTGCTCCTGGGCCTCCTCGTCGTCGAACGTCAACTCGGCGTAGGCGTCGACCGAGACCGGCGTCTTCGGGGTACGTCAGGTCTGCTCCTCGTCAAGAAACTGCATACGCGGCTTGTCGGCGTAGTCCTGCTGATGTAGCCAAAGCTTCCTTGCCGGCTTGTCGCCCATGATCTCCAGCACGAGGTACTTCCGCACAGGCGAGATCTCTTGCAGCTCAAAGGCAGCCTTCAGTAGCTCTTTCAGCTCCCTCAGCATCGCTGCACTGCTCCTAGCAGTGAGCAGTTCATCGACGTAGACCAGCACCCAACAGGCCACGTCATCCTCGTCGACCTTGAAGTAGAGCGCCGTGTCGAACAGGCTCTTCTTCCAGCCAGCGCCCAGCAGCACACCGTCAAGAGCCCCGCACCATAGCGGCAGCGAATGCTTCAGCCCGTAGAGGATCTTCAGTAGCTTGCATACCCGGCCGGTTCCGTCATTGAAGTAGTCCGGCTGGTACATGTACAGCACCCGGTCGAGCTTGCCATGCAGGAAGGCGTTCTTCATGTTAAGCTGCATCAGGTCAAAGACGACGACGATGCCGAGGAAGATCCTCAGCATGTCGTAGCTGCTCACCGGTGCATAAGTCTCATCGTAGTCGGTGCCATACACCTGCGTGAAGCCCTTCACGACCAGCCTCGCCTTCTCGCGCTCGACGGTATCATCGATGTGGTACTTCCTCGTCAGCACCCTCCTGTTCTTCATTATGTTCATCCCAGGTGGGCATTCAACCAGCACACACGTTCCCACGCAAATGAGACAGCGGATCTCTTCCTCCATGGCGGCCTTCACCGCCTTGCCCTTCAAGCTCGCCAACGCCTTCTTCGGCATCATCATGGAGATGTCCCAATTGTGTTCGGGGTTGGGCATGTCGGGGTCGAGCTCCGGCGGGTCTTCATCATCCTCTGCGTCATCGTACAGCAGGCAGTCGTCGACCTCGTCGTATGCCGTGGTGAAGGCAGTCGGTACGAAGAAGTCTGGCGACCTTCGAGGTCGACCTGTACGCTGTAGTCTAGGCCAGACCTACACCACGTCACTGTCGCTGGATTCCTCGGCGGCGTCCCTTCCATCATCACCGTCTTCACTGTCGCCGGCGTCCTGCTATACCACAGTCGCCATCCCTGCTGACTTCTCCCGTGCGGTCCGCTCCCATGCCAACTGCCTAGTCGTCGACTGATCCTTGGTCGGCTTCGCTGCACCCTTCTCCCTTGTTGGCTGTTGCCCTGCTGGTGCCTCCTTCGACGGCTTCACCAAAGTCGGTTGCACCTCCTCGGCTTGTTGCTTCCCGGTCGGCGTATGCTTCGCTCCCACGCCCATTTTTGCAGCGTCACGTCGGCCACTAGCTATACCTTGGGCCGACGGCACAGGCGATGCCCCACTTCTCCCCTCATTGCCGGAGGTCGACATAGGAGACCGCCCACGCAGGTCGGCAACAATGGGTGGGGCACGCGCAAGGGAGGGAGGGTGGACACCCACAGCGTCCTCATCAGCAATCTCACCGACCTCGGCGAGCAGAGGAAGAGTCGCCGCCGAGGTGTCCGGTCGGCAGGTTGACCTGCGTCCGCCCCAACGCTGGCCCGTGCTCCACCTTCCACACCTCTAGCGATATGGTTTCGTAGTACACCACGTCCGACGTGGTGACCACCCAGTTGTCGGCGATGTCGAGGAGCTCCTAGCCCTTGCTCTCCTCCGACACGCCGAGATGAAGGCCCTACCGGGCCTTCGGCTTCAGCTTTCCGCCGCGCTGCTGCTCGGGGACCAGGAACTGCGCCATGCAGCCCCA